TGGATCAAGTGGTATTTCTGTTTTTAGGTCTTTGAGGAATGGCCACACTGTCTTCCATAGTGGTTGAGCTAATTTACATACTCACCAACAGTGTATAAGCGTTCCTTTTTCTCTGCAAACTTGCAAGCATCTGTTGTTTTTGGACTTTTTAATAGTAGACATTCTGATTGGTGTGAGATGGTATCTCATTGTGGTTTTGATTTGTTTCTCTAATGATCAGTGATGTTGAGCTTTTTTTTCCCATATAATTGTTGGCTGCATGTATGTCTTCTTTTGAAAAGTGTTAGTTCATGTCCTTTGCCCACTATATAATGGGGTTGTTTGCTTTTTCTTGTAAATTTGTTCAAGTTCCTTGTAAATTCTGGATACTAGACATTTGTCAAACGGGTAGATTGCAAAAATTTACTCCCATTCTGTAGGCTGTCTGTTTACTATGTTGATAGTTTATTTTGCTGTGCAGAATCTCTTTATTTTAATTAGATCCCATTTGTCAATTTTTGCTTTTGTTGCAATTTCTTTTGGCATCTTCGTCATGAAATCTTTGCCTGTGCCTATGTCCTGAATGGTATTGCCTAGGTTTTCTTCTAGGCTATTTATAGTTTTGGGTTTTACATTTAAGTCTTTAATTCATCTTGAGTTAAATTTTGTATATGGTATAAGGAAGCGGTCCAGTTTCAATTTTCTGCATATGGCTAACCAGTTATCCCAGCACCATTTATTGAATAGGGAATCCTTTCCCCATTGCTTGTTTTTGTCAAGTTTGTCAAATATCAGATAGTTGTAGGTGTGAGGTGTGAGGTCTTATTTCTGCGTTCTCTATTCTGTTCCATTGGTCTATGTTTGACCACTTTAAATTTGATTATTTGGTTTTTGTGCTATTGAAATGAGTTTCTTATATATTCTGGATATTAACTCCTTGTCAGAGGCATAGTTTGCAAATACTTTCTCTCATTCTGTAGGTTGTCTCTTCCCTTTATTCATTGTTTCCTTAGCTGTGCAGAAGCTTTTCAGCTTGATGTAATCACATTTGTCCATTGTCTATTTTTTGCTTTCATTGCTTGAGATCTTACTCAAAAAATCCTTGCCCAGTACAGCAATTCCACTACTTGATATACTGAAAAGAAGCTAAAGTAGGTTCTTGGAAAGATATTTGACAGCCATGTTCACAGCAGCATTATTCACAATAGCCAAAAGATGAAAGTAACCAAACTGTTCACTGACAAATGAATGGATTAACAAAATGTGATATATACATACAATGAAATGCTATTCAGTGGCTAGCCATATGCAGGAGAATAAAAGTGGACTCCTACTTTTCACCATATACAAAAATTAAGTCAAGATGGATTAAAGACTGAAATATAAGGCCTCAAACTGTGAAAATCCTAGAAGAAAACCTAAGAAATACCCTTCTTGACCTCAAGCTTGGCAAGGAATTTTTGGCTAAGGTCCCAAAAGCAATTGCAACAAAACCAAAAATTGACAAGTGGGTTCTAATTAAATTGAAGAGCTTCTGCACAGCAACAGAGTAAACAGACAACCTACAGAATCAGGGGAAAATATTCACAAACTATGCATCCAACAAAGGTCGAATATCCAGAATCTATAAGGAATGTAAACAAATCACCAAGCAAAAAACAAATAACCCCATTAAAAAATGGGCAAAGGACATGAAAAGACACTTCTCAAAAGAAGGCAACCAAGTAGCCAACAAACGTATGAAAAAATACTCATCATCTTCATGTCCTTTGCAGGGACATGGATGAAGCTGGAAACCATCATTCTCAGCAAAATATCACAAGGACAGAAAACCAAACACCACATGTTCTCACTCATAAGTGGGAATTGAACAATGAGAACACATGGACACAGGAAGGGGAACATCACACACCAGGGCCCGTTGTGGGGTGGGGGCTGGGGGATTGATAACATTAGGAGAAATACCTAATGTAAAAGACGAGTTAATGTGTGCAGCAAACCAACATGGCACATGCATACCTACGTAACAAACCTGCACGTTGTGCACATGTACCCTAGAACTTAAAGTATAATAATAAAATAAATAAATAAATACTCATTATCACTAATAATCAGTGAAATGCAAATGAAAACACAATGAGATACCATCTCACAGCAATCAGAATGGCTATTACGAAAAAGTTAAAAAATAACAGATGCTGTTGAGGCTGTGGCAAAAAAGGAACACTTACACACTGTTGGTGGGAATGTAAATTAGTTCAGCCAATGCGGAAAGCAGTTTGGAGATTTCTCAAAGAACTTAAAACAGAGTTACCTTTAGACCCAGCAATTCTGTTACTGGGTATAAATCCAAAAGAAAATAAATCATCCTACAAAACAGACATATGCACTCATATGTTCATTGCAGCTCTATTCACAATAGCAAAAACATGGAATCAACCTAGGTGTTCATCAATCGTGGATTGGAAAAAGAAAATGTGGTACATATATACCATGGACTACTATGCAGCCATAAAAAAGAATAAAATCATGTCCTTTGCAGCAACATGGATGGAGCTGGAGGCCATCATCCTAAGTGAATTAAAAAAGGAACAGAAAACCAAATACCACATATTCTCACTTATAAGTGAGAGCTAAACATTAGGTATTCGTGGGCATAAAGATAGCAGCAATAGACACTGGGGACTACTGGAGCAGGGAGGGAGGGAGAGGGGTAAAGGTTGAAAAACTGACTATTGGGTATTATACTCATTACCTGAGTGATTGGATCATTCACATCCTAAACCTCAGGATCATACAATACACCCATGTGACAAGCCTACGCCTGTACCCACTGAATCTAAAATAAAAGTTGAAATTATAAAAAGGAAATACTATTCATCAATAAAATAAATAAAGTACTGATACACACAAAAGATTACATATTATATGATTTATACAAAATTCAGAGAAAGGGCAAATTTATAGAGATGAAAATCAGATCAATCATTGCCTTGAGCTGGAGGTGGGAGTTCAGATTAAATGTAAACAGACAGGAGGGAATTTTTGGAGGTGATGCAAATGTTCTGAAACTGGATTGCAGTAATAATTATACAACCCTATAAATTTACTAAAATTTTTGCATTGTACATGTATAACGTGAATTTTATGGCATGTAAATTATACCTCAATATAGCTACTTCTTAAAAGTCATCCTAAGAAGACTTGGCTGAATTTTCAAGTCAGTAATATCCCAGATGAGTAACTCTAGTGGCTTTGGTGCACATATACAACTATAAGAAAGTCTTAACACACTCCTCCTGCCAACTAGATTGCTGTTCATAAACCACACGGTTCTCTACAGTCAGGAAGGAGTAGGGGTTTTCTCAGTGCCAAGGCAAAGGAATGGTATCCCAGGCAATGGAAACAACATGAATGAAAGTATGTGGGCTTTCAAAAGCCTGGAGGATCCAAGAACTGTATGCATTTTAGTACGTCTGAATTAGAGGGTTCAAGTTGGGGAGAGGGGAAGGGAAGTCAAAAACAAGCTGTGGACTGTCCATACCCACAGTTCCTGGAGAGCCTTGAACACTGGACTGAGAAGCTTTGACTTTATCCCAGGGACAGTAAGAGAGCCTGTAAAGATTTTAGGCGGAAGATTGACATCGGATTTGCAGATTAGGAACAGCTCTTTGGAGGCTGCTGTAGGTGGATTGGAGGGGACTAGCCTGGAAGCTCCTAGTATGTTCTGTGCATTGTGTTAGCCTCTGGGGTTAGAATAGTGAACCAGACAAACAAAAGTCCTGTGCTTATGAAGCTAGTGGCAGGGAGAACAGTAAATAACCACATAAGAAAAATAAAGATAATTAATTTCAGAAAGCAATAGATGTTATGGAGAAAATGAAATAGGGTAAAAGAAGAGTGACTGCTGGGGCTTCTTTGGATTGGTAAGTCAGGGAAAGCCTCCCTGAGGAGGTGATATTTCAGTTGAGACCCGAATGAAACAATGGGCCCACCCACAACTAGATCTGGGGACAGAATGTTCTAAGCAAGAGGGAATAAATAACTAAAGCAAAAACCCTGAAGCTAGAACCAAATTGGAGCATGATGAGTTTGATCTGTTTTAACAGTCAATGCTTTAGAGGTATTAAGGCCTAATCTGGAACAAGGACAATGGGATTTAAAGAAGAGAGGAATACAAGAGGTATTAAGGAGGTCGGATTGCCAGGATAAACAGCTCAAAATTACAGAGTGGAACCTAAGCCGTATTTACATTTAAACGACAGGTCAAACCCTGTTAACAGGACACCTGACAGAGTAAGTGATCGCCAGTAGCCATGACAGGTAGTAAGTCCTCCAAGCCTTGGAGTTCAGCAATTTTTTAAAAAACAACAATGTCTCAAGCTTTCTAGAAGCAAACTGGACGAATGTCAGGCAACAGTAGGTATCGATTGCTTGTTATGTATCAGGTACTGTTCTATGTGTTAGGGATATATTAGTGACAAGACAGAAAAAAATTCCACCTTCATAGAGCTTACATTGCAGCCAGGGAGACTGAAAATAAGCAAACAAACAGAGCTGAAATGGAAAAATAAAGTAAGGTAAAACAAAAGAGATTGTGGGGAAGGGAGTGTGCATTATTTTAGATAGAGTGGCTGGTCAGGAGAAGCCCTCCATTAAGTAGACAATTGAGCAACTAGAGTGATCAACCATCTGGTTTTCCCAGCACTGTCTTGGTTTAGGCACTGAAAATCTCATGCCCTGGGAAATCCCTTGGTTCTAGGCAAACCAGGGCAGTCACTCACTCTAGGAAAGAAAGGAGCTAAGGAGGGGAATCGCTCAATTATCTGAGAAAAAAATGACCCAGATAAAAGGAATAGCCCCATTCCACCTCACACTTTCCCTCTTCCACTGCAGCAGGATGTGGAGGTAGCTTTTCCCTCACAGCACTTCTACCTACATACAACCCAGCTAAAAGGGAAGGAAATTGGAAGGAGTGAGTCTGAAAAGATTGGTGAACACAAATGGCGCCTAAGCTCAATGTAATGTGTTTGTGCCCTCTCTCCTTACACTGGTGCTAGAATAGCTCAGAATTGAATAAATGCATAGCAAAACAAGAGTGCATTCATACACCTGATGTTCAGCAAATCTATACATAATTACTCAATGCAATGTTGAAATAAATTATTGACTGGCATCTTTGTGGCACTTTTGTAAACTTGCATCCATGGACCTATGTTCTCCCTTTGCTATGCCCTTGCATGAATGCCAGGTTAAAGAATGCGGATATTACTCTGTCAGCAATGAGTCACCACTAAATGGTTCTGAACAGGGGCAGGCTGTGATGGCAGAGAAGAGTTTTCAAGAGAATCAGGTGGTTTTGTGGATGACAGGATAAGGACTTTAAAGCTCAAAGAAGACAGATCAATCAGGAAAAATCATAGATGGGAGTTCTCAGTTGGCAGTCTGTATTACTGGATCTAACCGAACACAAATCTGGAAGCCAACTCCATGTCAGCCTAAGGCCCTGACCCCTGGAATGATGGTTTCCATCCACGGAGCTATATAGAAGTATGGATTATTCCTTGACTGGAACCTTGCGGAAGGAGTGGAAGGCAGTCCTTCTTTGGGTAGGCAGTTGGTTTCACATAAATTCCAAGGTCTTTTCCAGTCTTGAGATGCTGGACTGATGATGTTGTCAATTGGTCTTTCCTCCTGTCTGCCCCTAAAAAAAGATTGGAAGCTCTGTTATTGATCTTGATGGGGTCTGTTAACCTACAGGACCTGGCAGAGGTTTTGAGTTGTTACTCCCACTGGGCTATATCCTACCTGGGACCTGGGCTCATCTTACTACACCATCTGCTACCCTTCTAACCTCTGATGCCGTTCAACTTCCTTGAGGAGCCCCTGGAGCAAGAGAGGGAAATGCAACTGCATGACTGCTGAATACCCAGAAGATACTCTATGATTCATGACTCTGACATGGGGGATGGGGTGGGGCAGCTCAAGGAATGGATTAATTAATATATTTGGAGCTTGCTTTCCCTGGTACCTAAGTTGGAAGGGACCTCAACAAGTAACTGAATATTCTCGTTATCCCCACTCCAGAAACAGAACAACTGGGAAAGAAATGATAGGCTATATCCAAGGCCAAGAGAAAAGGAAAGGAAGTTGTAGATGATGCCTCTGGATGCAAAAACTTGGAAAATGATTCTCAGCTATAAAAGGGAGACTTAATATAAATTATAAATAGTGCATTGGATCAACCTATAGTGCTATTGACTCCAATAAATTATTTGCATTTATTCACAAGATTTGCAGTTACTCAAGCATCATGCATTCACTCAGATTTCATACACTCTGATCTTACACACACTCCTTCAGATGTCACACACACACATTCTTATATATTACTCACACTTACTTAGACATCACACACATTCATTCAGACTTAGTCATGCTTAATCAAATGTCATGTCATTTCTCCCTTATCTGGTTGTCACCAATCACTTAAATGCCACATATACAGACCTTATCAGATGCCACACAGTTACACAGATGGTGCCACATCCAAGTGCTACCTGTTCTTCATCATGTATCATAAACACTCATCCAGGCATCCTCCAATCCCTTGCTATTCAAAGTGAGGTCCCTAGACCAGCAACATCGGCATACCTGGGAACTTGTAAGAAATGCAGAATCTCAGATCCCACCCAGACCTGATGAATTAAAAGTCTGCATTTTAACAAAATTCCTAGGTGATTCATATGCACATTGACATTGAGAAGCACTGACACCAGGACTGAATCCCATTAACTGTCATATTCCCGGTGCCTAGACAGCAGTTAGGCATATTAGGTGCTCAATAAATGTGTTTTGTTTTGTTTTGTTTTTGAGATGGAATCTCGCTCTGTCGCCCAGCCTGGAGTGCAGTGGGTGACACATCCTGACATCTTTCATGCTCATCAAAATGTTTCTTCATGCAATACCACTCTGAAGTACATTTTCTAAAGAAACCCTTGCTCATATATACAGGTGGAAAGGTAAAGGAATGCTCGATACAGCAATAGTTGATACGGGGAAAATTGAAAACAACCTAAATAAGCCAGGGCATTAACAAATAGAATGTGATCCATGCATTCAGTAAATAGCAGTGAAAAATAACAAATGAAGGCTACAGGCACTGTTATAGATAAAACAAAACTATAGATGACACAAACAAATGGAGAAACACCCCATGCTCAAGGATTGGAAGAATGAAAATCATTAAAATGACCCTACTGCCAAAGCAATCTATAGATTGAATGCAAGGAATGGAGAATTCCATTTTCCCTATCAAAATACTAATACATTTTAATGATTTTCCCTATCAAAATACTAATGTCATTTTTTTACATAATTAGAAAGAACAACCCTAAAATTCATATGGAACCAAAAAGCCCAAATAGCCAAAACAATTCTAAGCAAAAAGAACAAAACTGGAGGCATCACATTACCTGACTTCAAATTATATTACAAAACTATGGTAACTAAAACAGTATGGTATTAGTATAAAAATAGGCACACTGATCAATGGAACAGAATATAGAACCCAGAAATAAAGCTGCATATGTACAGCCAACTGATCTTTTACAAAGTTGACAAAAATATATGCTGTGGAAAGGACATCCTATTCCATAAATGGTCCTTGGAAAATTGGCTTGTCATATGCAGAAGGATAAAATTGGGCCCCTATATCTCACCACATAGAACAATTAACTCAAGATGGATTAAAGACTTAAATGTAAGACCTGTAACTGTAAAAATACTAGAAGAAAACCTAGGAAAAAGTCTTCTGGATGTTGGTCTAGGCATCTACTCATCTGACAAAGGGCTAATATCCAGAACCTACAAAGAGCTCAAACAAATTTACAAGAAAAAAACAAACAACCCCATCAAAAAGTGGGCAAAGGATATGAACAGACATTTCTCAAAAGAAGACATTCATACAGACAACAGACACATGAAAAAATGCTCATCATCACTGGCCATCAGAGAAATGCAAATCAAAACCACAATGAGATACCATCTCACACCAGTTAGAATGGTGATCATTAAAAAGTCAGGAAACAACAGGTGCTGGAGAGGATGTGGAGAAATAGGAACACTTTTACACTGTTGGTGGGATTGTAAACTAGTTCAACCATTGTGGAAGACAGTATGGCGATTCCTCAAGGATCTAGAACTAGAAGTACCATATGACTCAGCCATCCCATTACTGGGTATATACCCAAAGGATTATAAATCATGCTGCTATAAAGACACATGCACACGTATGTTTATTGCGGCACTATTCACAATAGCAAAGACTTGGAATCAACCCAAATGTCCATCAGTGACAGACTGGATTAAGAAAATGTGGCACATATACACCATGGAATACTATGCAGCCATAAAAAAGGATGAGTTTGTGTCCTTTGTAGGGACATGGATGCAGCTGGAAACCATCATTCTCAGCAAACTATCACAAGAACAGAAAACCAAACACCACATGTTCTCACTCATAGGTGGGAACTGAACAATGAGATCACTTGGACTCGGGAAGGGGGACATCACACACCAGGGCACACACACATCATGGGGAGTGGGGAGGGGGGAGGGATTGCATTGGGAGTTATACCTGATGTAAATGACGAGTTGATGGGTGCTGACGAGTTTGCAGCACACCAACATGGCACAAGTATACATATGTAACAAACCTGCACGTTATGCACATGTACCCTAGAACTTAAAGTATAATAATAATAAATAAATAAATAGATAGATAAAAATAAAAAAAAGAATTCATAACTAAGAACTCAAAAGCAAATGCAATAAAACCAAAAATAAGTAAATAGGACTTAATTAAACTAAAAAGCTTCTGCACAGCAAAAGAAATAATCAACAGAGTGAACAGACAACCTGCAGAATGAGAGAAAATATTTGCAACCTATGCATAGGACAAAGGACTCATATCCAGAATCTACACAGAACTCAAACAACCCAATAACAACAAAAAACGCCAAATAACCCCATTAAAAATTTGCAAATGACAGGAACAGACATTTTCCAAAAGAAGACGTACAAATGGCCAACAAGCATATGAAAAAATCAGCATCACTAATCATCAGGGAAATGCAAATTAAAGCCACAATGGGATATCATCTCACACAAGTCAGAATGGCTATGATTTAAAAGACAAAAAATAACAGATGTTGGCGAGGATGTGAAGAAAAGGGAATGCTTATCCATTTTTGGTAGAGATATAAAGTAGTACATCCTCTATGGAAAACAGTATGGAGATTTCTCAAGCAACTAAAAATAGAGCTACCATTCGATCCAGCAATTCTACTACTGGATTACCCAAAGGAAAATAAATCATTATATCAAAAACATACCTGCACTTATGTATGTTCATAGCAGCACTATGGAATCAACAAGCAAAGATATGGAATCAACCGAAATGTCCATCAATGGATGGTTGGATAAAGAAAATGTGACATATATACACCATGGAATACTATTCAGCAGTAAAAAGCATGAAATTTTATATATATATGTATATATAATATATACGTGTATATATATTATATATACATATATATACACACACTTTTTTTTTTTTTTTTTTTGAGATGGAGTCTAACTCTGTCGCCCAGGCTGGAGTACAGTGGCGTGATCTCAGCTCACTGCAAGCTCTGCCCCCCGAGTTCAAGCCATTCTCCTGCCTCAGCCTCCCGAGTAGCTGGGTCTACATGGTCTTGATCTCCTGACCTCGTGATCCGCCCGCCTCGGCCTCCCAAAGTGCAGGGATTACAGGCGTGAGTCACTGCGCCTGGCTGAAGTTATATCTTTTGCAGCAACTTGGATAGAACTGGAGGCCATTATCATAAGTAAAATAATGCAGACACAGAAAATCAAATGCCGCATGTTCTTACTCATATATGAGAACTAAATAATGTGTACATATGGACATAGAGAGTGGAATAATAGACATTGGAGACTCAGAAGGGCCGGTGGGTAGAAGGGAGTGGATGATGAGAAATTACTTAATGGGTACAATGTACATTATTCAGCTGATAGGTACACTAAAAGCCCAGACTTCACCACTACACAATATACTCATGTAACAAAACTGCACTTGTACTCCCTACATTTATATTAAAAAGGCAAAAATCCTCAAAACTATAATCTTGTTTATAAGCAAGTTACAGAGTGATATATTTACTATGATACTATTTATACTTAATTATAAAACCTATAAAAAATACTCTATGTTGTCAATGAATAGGTTAATATGTAGTAAAAGTATAAGAACTTCCAAGGAAATAACAAACAACAAATTCAGAATAGTGGTGACCACTGGACAGAGAGAAAAAGAAGAGAGGAAAAGGATTGGGAGGAGTACACAGAGATTTTAACTGTATCTGTAATATTTTATTTCCTAAAAAGAAAGATAATCTGAATCAAATTAGGCAAAATTCCAAGATTTGACAAATCTGAGTGGGGAGTGTAGCATTATTCCCTGTGCTTTTGAATGCTTGAAATATTTTATTGAACAAAGGAAAAACATGAACAAGGAGATAAAAGAATTTGCTACTCTTGGAAGCTTCATCTTCTCAACAAGGCAGCATTTCTTTTTCCTCTATCTTTACCAGGAACATTTCATTTTCTCAAACTAGTTTCATGGTAGGTCTTTCTTCATTT